ATATATATATATGTGTGTGTGTGTGTGTGTGTGTGTGTGTGTGTTTTAGATTTACGTTCAAAATATATTTTAAAATATACCAACAATTGTCTTTTAAAAATTGTTTAATAAACAGAAACAGAATTCTGTTAATAAACAGAAATAAAATACATTATAAGTACATATAAGGATAATAATAATGTTCATATTTTATTTGCCTATTATTATTATCGCCTATTTTTAAGTAGTGTACATTTATTTTATATATAATACTATGCGATACTAACTTACATTACAGTAAATTAACCCCTCATTTTCAATTGAACTATTTTCTAGGTTGGGAAATCCTCCTGGGGAGAGCAAAATTAACACTCGTCAGATGTTCAACAAGTATGTACTACTATAGATATACGTCAAGCTATAAATAGAAGTTATTAATAGCCCATTGTGTCTGTTAAACTGCATTGTGGAGTGTTTATTCACACTTGCTGTGTTCAGGGCGGTGTGTACGGTGTTCAGCACATGGCTGAGTAACTATCCCGAGGATTTCTGCTCTCTGAACGATCCCTCCTGCCTGCTGCGCTTGGCCGCCCTCCTTCCCACAGACACCTCGGGCGCAGAAATCAAAGGCCGACTGCTGAGGATCGCCGAGGAGCTGAGTGAGAAAGCCCTGCTGTCCGGCTCGCTCTCAGGTCAGGATATTTGTCATCATTTGATCATTTTGATATTTGATCATTTTCATATTCAGGCTTCCCACACTCACGAAATACCTTGAAATCATGGGATTTTAAAATTGCTATTGAAAAGTCAAGGAAATTAGTACAATCTTAAAAAGTCAGGGAAAAATTCTGTAGTCAATATCAGTCTAATATTTTTCAGTGGCTAGAAATTGCTCTAGAAAAAGATTTTTTTTAGAACTTTATCCCTTACTCATGAAGGACAGGAAAATGCATAGTAATTCACTGGACTGTACACTAGGGTTGTGACGGTAAGGACATTTTCCCACCGGTTAATCGACTTGTGACAACACCGGTAATACCGGTATCACCGCGGGGGCGTTCTCTCTTTTTCTAGCTTTCCTTCGCTTTTAAATAGCTTGTAAAAGCGGCGTGCACATTTTACTTTCACTTTCAAATAGTGGCAATTCGGAGTAAAGCAATTGTTCGTTTTTAGTTTGTTTGAATTTTCCCTCTTTTCCTCGCTTTCCTTCGCTTTTAAATAGCTTAAAAGCGCCGTGCGCATTTTACTTTCACTTTAGAATGGTTAGGCAGTTAGGCGTCAATTGCTTGAATGCAACAACAAAATACAACGTCAAACTCACTTTAGCGTATATATAAAACATAGAACTTTTATTAACAAAACAAATACAAATACACCATGCTATAGGGCAGGCTATGCCTAATATAAAATAACAAATAACTTACATAAAGTTTAAATAGGTATACAAAACTGGAAACAAGTAAACACGTTAATATATAATATATAACCAAATAAATAAGAAACGTAGAACGTTTATTAGCAAAACGTGTAAGAAAGCTTGGAGGCATGGCATACACCTTGATGTCAAATAAAATAAATAAATGACACAAAGTTTAAATAAAGTAAAAATCCAAACAATGTGGAACCAATTAAATAAGAAACACAAAAAATCAAAACGACGGTGGGGGTCGGTGACTTGGTGGGCAAGTGACGTAACTGGTGTTGCGGCTTAACACCGTCAGCACCGTCTATCGCGGCAAGCCTACTGTACACTGCAATTTTAAACAATGCATTATGTTGTAAGCCCAAAAACAGTTGCCATAAACTCAGTTTTATCTAAACTAGTGTTCAAAATGTTGGGGTCTGCAAGATTTTTTTATGTTTTTGAAAGAAGTCTCATATGTGACCCTGGACCACAAAACCAGTCATTTTTTGAAATTGAGATTTATACATCATCTGAAAGCTAATAATTAATAAATGAGCTTTCCATTGATGTATGGTTTGTTAGGATAGGACAATATTTGGCCGAGATACAACTATTTGAAGTATTCTCTCCCAAGGCTGCATTTAATCAAAAATACATGGGAAAAAAAACTGTAATATTGTGAAATATTATTACAATTTAAAATAGCTGCTTATATGAATATTTAAAAAATATATTTATTCCTGTAATGAAAAGCTGAATTTTATTCAGAAATCAATCATTCTAATTGATTTCTGTGTTGATTTGCTGCTCAAGAAACATTTTATATGATTAGCAATGTTGAAACTGCTTAATATTTTTGTGAAAACAGTGATATATTATTTTCAGGATGAACAGAAAGTTCAAATAAACAGAAATCTTTTGTAACAACATAAAAGCCTTTACTGTGACTTTTGATCAATTTAACACAACTTTGCTGAATAAAAGTATTAATTTCTTTAAAAAAAAAAAAATCCTACTGACCCCAAATTATTTCATTTATAAACACATTTGCCTCTTAGCAAGCATTCATTTTTAAATCTGGTTCCAGATTAGATAGACATAGCAGTACTTATTGTCCATTTTTCCATACTGATGTGCTGATTTCCTACAGATCCTACCAGAGGTGTGACATCTCCTCCTGATCCCTCAGAGTTTGATGCCACTAGCATCCTGGGATTTCCATCCAGTGTGATCGCAGAGCAGCTGACCAGGATCGAGACTGTGAGTTTGATCATACTGCTCACAAATGCTACCTTTACATCTGTGGAAAAGACCAGCGATTAGTCTGAAACTAAAAGTAAAATGTGTCTCAGTTTGCTTCACTCTTTAAAGTCTGTGAACATCTCAGACCTGTCGGTAAGGGCCTTAAATGAAATGCTTTTGTTTTGCCTTAAGGATCTGTTTCTGAAGCTGGTGCCCTATCACTGTCTGGGGTCTCTGTGGTCTCAGAGAGATAAGAAGGGCCGGGAAGGAGCGTGCTGGTCGGTCAGAGCCACTATCAAGCAGTTTAATCGGTTAACGAATGCCGTCACAGCCTCGTGCTTGTGGAACACGGCTCTGAAGAGCCAACAGAGGGCAAGACTGCTGGAGAAATGGATCAGCGTCGCAGAGGTCAGAGCAGTTTCACTGTAAATGTTGTCATCCATTAGGATGAAGGACTCACGTGAGTGTGTGGTTTGTTTCCCAAACAGGCCTGCAGAAGCAGGAAGAACTTCTCCTCACTGTACGCCATTCTATCAGCACTGCAGAGTAATCCCATCCACAGACTGAGAAAGACCTGGCAGGAGACAGACAGGTCTGGGTTTACTTAGAAAACTGCTCCTCGATGCGTTAAAGGAACATCATTTAAGTCCATATTTATTTGTGGTGCAGATGAACTGGTGCAGATATTTTCATGTTTTAAATCTATTTTAAAAAATACAAAAATGGTTTAAAAATATATATTGCTAATATATATTTTATGTAATATATTGAAAATGTATATATTAATGCTAAATATACATATAAATTATTTCATTTATTATTTTTCTTATATTTATAAATTAGTATATTAATAATCATAAAGAGACAGATATATTCAGATATACGTTTGAAATATATTTTAAAATATAAGACTTATAAGATATTAATATAAGACAACATTTGTCTTATAAAGTTTCATTTATATAAGATAAGTTTAATTTATATTATTTCATTTAATATATTTCTTATGTTTACTTTAATATATTTTCAATCTAAATATATTGATATTGTCCAAAATATAATTACAAATTTGCACAAAAATGCATTTTAGTGTGAAATGTATTTTTTTGCCCCTTTTGCACACATATTTTAAAAATTATTTTAGCTTTTGAAGATTTAAACATAATAGATTTTCAATTTGAATATCTGTATATTTGAAATTTAATTATGTCACATTATTATTATTATTATTATTTTTTTTGGCTGTATAAGATTGTAAAATGATCCCAATACTTTTACAATCTTATAAACATTTATTGATTGATTGATTTTTCAAATAATTTTCTATAATAATATTTTAGTTGTATTTAATTTGGAATATTCCTTACCATTATATTTCCAATTTGCATTGAAATGTAAAAAAATATTCATGTTAAATGAAAATGTAACGTCATTTTTTAACAGTAGCAGTGCAGAATAACCTAAAGTCCTTTTCTCTACTCTGATAGAGAAGCTGTGAAGAGATACGAGGAACTTTCTGACATCTTCTCAGAGAAAGACAACTACTCCCAGAGCCGCGAGCTACTCAAAGAGGTCAGTCACACGACGACACAAAGCAGCCAATTCAAACGGTTCTCTAATGTTATTAGAGAGCATGGCGATGCATTGATGGGAAAGTATCAGGCCAATCGATGTTCTCTGGTTCTCTGTGTCAAATTCTCATTGGATGTGCTTCATCACTGTAGAGCACTGCATCAGTTCAGCACGGCCTGAGGGGAGCAACTAATGACATGAATAGAATGAGTAATATCAGATTCAGCCATGCACAAACACAGCCTCATACTATAAACTTCATTATCTATTGCTGTTTGAGAAATAGTTCACATAAAAATAAAAAATCAGTCATTAGTTACTCATCCTCATGTCGTTATGCTGTTATTTTTTCTGTGGAACGCAAAGGGAGAAATTAAGCTTTAACTGATCAGTGACCACTATTGTGAAGGTCCAAAAATGACAAAAAAAACAACAACCATAAAATCATAATAAAAGTACTCTCCGCTGAAGCTCTGAAATCACATTAGGATTCCACAACATGACAGATTTAAATGCATCATACAGAGACATTTTGCGAACACAGGAACTGAACTATTTTCCTTTGAATTGAATTTTGAAATTTGAAGTTTCCTGTAATAAAAGCATTTTCATTTTACAGGAGGGGACTTCAAAATTGTCAAACCTTGACACTAAAATCAACAACAGGAGATTTACAGGGGTAAGCATCCTTTAATAAATATATTTTAAAATATATTATATTTATAGAATATAGAATTTATATATTTTAATATAGAAATATAAATATTATTATAAATAATAATAATATATACTACTGTTTAAAAGTTTGGGATCAGTACGATTTTTAATGTTTTTTAAAGAAATATCTTTAAAAATACAGTAAAAACAGTAATATTGTGGAAATAAGTACATTTAAAATTTTACTATCACTTTTTTGTAACAATTTAATCATTGCTGAATGAAAGTATTAATTTAAAAAGAAAAGAAAAAGAAAAAAAAAACTAACCCTAAACTGTATTTTGTTACAAAAGATTTCTATTTTGAATAAATGCTGTTATTTTTTTTACTTTTTATTCATCAAAGAATCCTGAAAAAAAGTATCACAGGTTCCCAAAAAAATATCAAGCAGCAAAAAATTGATAATAAATCATGATTTGCATATGATTTCTGAAGGATCATGTGACACTGAAGACTGGAGTAATGATGCTGAAAATTCAGCTTTGCATCACGGGAATAAAATACATTTGAACAGATATTCAAATAGAAAACAATTATTTTAAATTGCAATAATATTAACATTTTATTGTACTTTTGATCAAATAAATGCAGCCTCGGTGAGCATGAGAGACTTCTTTCAAAAACATTAAAAATTCTTACCCCAAACTTGGTAGTAAGTGTGTATATCAAAAACTATGCATATATTTATGACAGTGTGATAGTGTTTATAATCTTTGATGCATTTGAATGCTGTATTTCTTTTGTAGTCGTGCGCTCAAGGCACTGTGCCGTACCTGGGCATCTTCCTCCGAGATCTCACCATGCTGGACACTGCAGTCAAAGACAGATTAGAGGTGATGTACGGTTCACAGCCCGCCATGAAACACGACTAACACAACTCAAAAAAAAGATAGAGACAAAACAGACCATATCGGCTCATCAAGCTGTGAAGTATAAAAAAAGCCGTGGTTTCACAATGTTTGTCAAAGCTCATCTGACAGAATCAAGATGTGTCAAACAAAACTATAAGTCAACATTGCATTGGCCAAAGCAGGTTGTAATGTAAAACAAAATGTAATGTCTCTTACAGAATGGCTTCATCAACTTCGATAAAAGACGACGGGTGAGTTTATGGTGATTATATACTTGATTGTCATTCTTTTAAGTTGTTTAAAAAAGTATTAACATCACATTCTCTTGATTTCAGGAGTTTGAAGTCATCGCTCAAATTCGCCTCCTTCAGTCCTCGTGTAAAAACAGCATTTTCAGAACGGATGAGACGTTTGTTCAGTGGTATCACAGCGCACCTACTCTGCGTGAAGAGGAAAGGTCTGTGACATTTCTGTAACTCTATTCTGAACATCTCAGATACACCCTGATTAAGTTTTAATATGTCTATGTGTTTTTTTAATAGCTACAAGCTGTCCAATCAGATTGAGGCACCGGGCGAGCCGAGTCCTGGCCGTGGCCTGAACCCTACAGTGATCATCACACAGTGTCCAGAGTAAGACATAACTGAAAACTGAAATAAAAATAAATGAAACCTAATTAGTAATATTTAGAATTTTAGAAAATATAGGCCATGTCCACACGTACACGGGTATTTTTATAAACTGAATTTTTCCTTCTTCCGTTTAAAAGTCCATCCACATGAAAACGAGCGCTATTGGCCAATGAATTGGCGTGATGGTATAAGGCAGTGGTTCTCAACCTTTTTTTCCACCGGGCCGCACTATGGTCCAAGTGCAAGTCTCGCGGGCCGCACGCATATAATTTACATATTACGTCAACAATACAAACCAACCTGATTTATAATATTATAGCCTAAATATTATGATATTTAATCGATTACATTCATTGAAATAAATAACATGGCAATGAGCCTCCGGTTTGTGACATGATCGCTCTGTTCTTGCGTTTCAGTGCTCTCTCAACCGTGGCAAATACAACCATGGATGCTGATGGGGTATTTGACTTCCCATCTCCTGTCAATCACCTGCTGTCCAAGCTTTACAAGGTTAGGGTGTGAATAAAGAGCTTTATTTTGATAGCATTGCAGTAATGGCTCTTTAAGAGCCCGGCTTTTATCAGCAACTTTAAGAAATTTATTATTTGAGAGCTCACTGAGGATCTTTATAGCAAAGCAAGTTGCTTTTTCAAATTGAACCATGCCACGCTTTTATTATGCAATATTTTTTTCTTACATGAAAATTCGCACTGCCAGATAAAAGTTTTCTCACATGAAAATTCAAACTACCAGATAAAAGTTTGGACACATTTGACTGAATTTATGTTTCTCATGATCCAAAAACCTTTTAATCTGAAGGCTTGTGTTTAAATGCTTGAAATTAGTTTTATAGAAAATTATTTTATAGAAAAGTCTACTTATGATTTTTTTTTTACCAAAAATTTTAGAAAAATTGAATTTTTTTTAATGGATGAGCTAACATCCGTGCCTGCAATACTTTTGGTGGAAAATTGATCCCATATTGTTCACCTAAAAATAAAATTCATCATTTACTCACCCTCGTGTTGCTTCAAACCTGTATGTCTTTCTTTCTTCTGTGGAACAGAAAAGCAGATGTTTCGCGGAATGTCTGAGCTTTAAGAATACATGTGAGCAAACATGAGATTTAGCAGCAAAACTGATGAAATAACCCATAGACTTAAACTGAATGAGGAACCAGAATATAACAGATTTGAAACAGGGCTATTTTGATTTAAAACTTTGCAACACCCTACTTTGTTTGTTCTTTTTGGTATTTGACAGGTTGTGGTCAATTTATGTTTCCAATGTATGGAAAATATCATTATTTTTGCGAAATGTTATATTTGGAAGGACATGACAGTGAGCAAATGATGATATACTTTTTATTTTTTGTTCAACTATTCCTAAGAATGTTGTCATAATTAACTATTTCAGCATGTGAAATCCCCATCCGTTTCCTGTCTGGATGTTGATTCGTCACCGCCGCCCAATGATGCCACACCCTCCGTTCTGACCACACCCACTACAGCCGTCAAATCACATCGGCGGTCTGTCTCCTGCGGCAACAACCCCACCAATAACAAACGAGAGGCGGGGCCTGATATGAGAATCGCCAGGATACGGATGGATTTACACGACGGCAACTTATACAGAAGCATTCTGGTAGTCTAGCAAATACAAATTTTTAAATGAATTTAAAAAACAACAACGTGCTGGAATGTGTGGCTTTGAAATGGCTGTATTTCACAGCACCAGTCCAGTGTTACATCAGACAATCTTTGGCATTTCATGTCAGCTCCTGTTTAATATGGATGCAGTCGCTCTTTGTTCTAATGTATACTTTCTTTTCTGTGCTGCCTCAGGTCACCAGTAATGATAAAACACCCACTGTAATCAGTTCTGCATTAGACAAGCACAACCAGAATGCTCAAGAAGCCTCCAAATATGAGCTGATCCAACTGCTGCCGGAGGGGAAAGGTGATGTCACATTTTTCATGTCATACAGTGCTGTATATTTTTTGAAAACACACCATAAAATGCGAAAACATTATTCTTGGCATACTGATTGGACATAGTGACATTATAAACTTATGATAAAAAAAAAAAAAAAAATATATATATATATATAAATGAATATGAACACTACTGTTCACGTGTTTTTTAAGAGATTCATATTTTTATTCAGCAAGGACACATTAAATTGATCAAAAGTGACTTAAAAGACATTTATAATGTTACAAAAGATTCCTATTTTTAATAAATTCTGTTCTTTTGAACGTTCTATTCATCAAAGACTTTTTTCGACATTGATAATAATAATACATGTTTCTTGGGTATCAAATCAGCATATTAGAGTGATTTCTGAAGGATCATATAACACTGAAGACTGGAGTAATGATGCTGAAAATTCAGCTTTGCATCACATGAATAAATTACATTATTAAATATATTCAAAAAGAAAACAGTTATTTTAAAGTGTAATGGAAACTGAAATAGTGACCGTTTTGTTTCT